CTGCACTCCTTGGTTTTTTGTTTTTTTTAGGAATTTGCTCATCTTAAACACGAATACACCAACTTGCAAGGCAAATTTCTGACCAGCGGATTTACGTTAGAAATCTTGCAGAAACTCAGCTGGTTGAAAAAAGAGGCAGAAGAACTAGCCAATGAGACCGCACAGAAAGCAAAAAGAATCACCGGTAATTTACACGCCACACGCGCACGCACAGAGATCCACCTACATACATACATAGCCATAAAGTCTATGTGTCTTTTGCTCCTGTAAAAGACTTTTCTAATCCAGTTCTAATACCGTAATAGTTTTAATGCTCCTTCCCTATTTGTATCGAATTAGAGCACACACACACTTCTGACAATGGCCTGACAATGTAAATGCAAATTCCTGGACGGGGCGTAGATCCCTTTCAATTCCAAAAATCTAAAGTTCTACACCCTTAAGGCAGCTAAGCAAACAATATATATTGACCTCAAGACACGTAATTGGGAAGTTACTGTGTTTTATACAATCGGTTGGTTCGGGTGTACATATATGCCTAACAAGGCATTCATTTCTATACACACATTGCTTTTGTCCTTTCAGCTCTAGAAAAGAAGATACAAGATCTGAACCAGATCAAACAGCAAAAAGCTGATCAGCTGAAGCAACTGGAGGATCACGTCCTAGCTATTAAAAATGAGATCGCTGAGGAATCAAACAGATATGCTGTTTGTAAAAGCTAGACGCAAAGAAGGCGAAAACACGTGGGAATCGCTAAATGGTAAATGGTTTGTAGTAATGACGAGCATTGGATAAGCTACATAGTTATTATAATACAAAGGTGATGCAGTATACAGTGTATTATTAATAAATGGTGTTTTGGAGCAAATCTTATTCCCGTTTATTCCAAAGCGTTCAGTGCCTCATTCTAAGAGTATCCAGGCAGTCATCATCATCATGATCATCATCATGATCATCATCATCATCATCATGATCATCATCATAATAATAATAATAATAATAATAAAGTTGGAAGGGACCTTGGAGGTCATGTAGTCCAACCCCCTGCCCAGGCAGGAAACCCTATACCACTTCGGACAAATGGCTGTCCAGTCTCTTCTTTAAAACGTCCAGGGTTGGAGCATTCACCGCTTCTGGAGGCAGGTTGTTCCACTGGTTAATTGTTCTAACTGTCAAGACGTTGGTAGTCCTTGACTCATATTCATTTAGTGACTGATTGAAGTAACAACGGCACTGAGAAAAGGGACTTATGACCGATTTCCACACTCGTGACCATTGCAACATCCTCATGGTTGCAGGATCAAAATTCAGACAACTGGCACATATTTATGACGGTTTGCAGCGTCCTGGGGTCACGTGATCCCTTTTTGCGACCTTCTGCCGAGCAAAGTCAATGGGACAAGCCAGATTCACTTAACAATCGTGTTACTAACTTAACAACTGCGGTGATCCACTTAACAACTGTGACATGGCAATTAAGGTCGCAAAACGGGACAACATTCGCTTCACAACTGCCTAGCTTAAGCCAGTTTTATGAGTCTACGTTTCAAGTGGTGGTGCGGTTCAACTACGTGGAAAATAATAAGGGACAATATTAAAGGGTGCAAATGATTTGAAAGAGACACCTCACAACTTGCCCCTCTCCAAAATTTTCTTTTAAGCAGTTGGGTTAAATTGGGTAACTACTTTCCTTTTTCAAAAGGGATACTTCAAAGATACTTCTTTGCTGTTTTGAATTAACTGTTTTGAATTAAGAGCTCAAATACATGCATGCACAGACATTAAAGCTTTCTTCTCTGTAAGATGCCAGGTGTGTATACATAAAGCATTGTTTAACATTCCCCCATACCTGCTAAAACCACACTAATACTTGTTGGCACATAATAATTTAAAGCTAAATAAAGATTAAAATGGTGTGGTTGTTTTTATACTCAAAATCTTAGGTAGATAGATAAGAATTTGTTTTGTCACAAACCATAGTTAAACGTTTATTTAAATTGGAAGTTACAGCAACACTACTTATTCCACATATTCCGATGATACAAATTCTCAGTGTGCAACACATCACAACTGCAGTTTAGCCACAGTGTGCAAGTGTACACACCTTTGCCTCCAGTGGTATAAATTCTATTGGTTTAGTTTTGTTGATTCTGTTCTTCATTGGATTGTTTTAGCCCGGGCTGCCTATCTGATTTAATGTTTTTAGCTTTTTTAATGGTTTTATTTTTTCACTTTTGTACACAGCCCAAGGTCTACTGGAGTTGGTTAGCTAATAAACTTAAAATAAAAATAATGTTGTATGAGCTTATGCTCATTAACATTATTATTGTTTATCATATTAATGTTTTACAGGCTTTTATTGTTTTAATGTCTGACTGGCTTTAAATGTTTGTAAGCCACGCAATACAGGATAGATAGATAGATAGATAGATAGATAGATAGATAGATAGATAGATAGATAGATAGATAGATAGATAGATAGATAGATAGACAGACAGACAGACAGACAGACAGACAGACAGACAGGATGTAGATATAAAGACAGAGATAGGTAGGTAGGTAGGTAGGTAGGTAGGTAGGTAGGTAGGTAGATAGATAGATAGATAGATAGATAGATAGATAGATAGATAGATAGATAGATAGATAGATAGATAGATAGATAGATAAATAGATAGATAGATAGATGATGGATGGACAGACGGATAGATGGATGAGAGAGAGAGAGAAGAGAGAGAGAGAGAAAAGAGACAGACAGAGAGAGAAAAGAGAAGAGACAGAGAAAAGAAG